GGGAATATTTGCAGAAAATTGTCGATGGTAATGCCAACGAAACTCCATGCCGGAAAGACCTGCCTTCAATGCCCAGCATCCTGGCATGTACCGAATATTTTGGTGACATACTAAGTGGTTATCGTATTACAAATCCAACTTTGTAATACTTCATAACCTAAATCGGAAATCTGGCTAAGGTTCCGTGACATACTTCACCAAATTATCGTCTATTTTGGGGCACATTACCCCCGTTACTTTGAATAACTGCCTATAATTATCACATTAAGCTCTTTTTTGTTATGCCTTCCTACTAAACCCAGTCGTATATTGCAGAATGCTGGGGGTTTAGCCTTCTGAAATAAGCCGTACAATAGACTTTCACCATTACATCTAAGAGTAATGGATACTGCCATTGAAAAACCTATTGAAACGGTACAATATATAATAAACTATAAAAATTACACTATGAAATGATATTTTAATTTTTCTGATCACAGTGCAGCCTTTTGTTTGCTATCTCATGCAGACCGCTGACACCCTCGGTCTCACGTGAAGCCTGTCTTCTTTTCTTCGTACGCGAATGGCAGGTTGTTTCTAGTGAGAACAAAATGCAATAAGCCGTCACCTTCACTCTCCATTCAAACTCTCAGGCCCCAGGCAGCCTTAAAGTCGATAAGTGGACTGTTACGGGAAATAGTCGCAGCTACTGACATACATAGTGATCATGTCAACGACTTGGCTCCAAAACACACGCATCAGGATTTTACACAGGATGATTTGGTTGGCATGGATCTCACAATTATGGCAGTTGCAGTGGTTACAATACTAATTTTACTCCTGCGATGAGGCGTAGAACACAGCATCTAATTCCAGTATTTCTGTGACCCATCAAAGCTGCGTTCAGCAGGCCAGCCGTTTTACCATTTGGACAGCGTTGCGTTGACTGGAGGACATAAAGCTGCCTTGTGATCATGTCCATCTGAAAAGTACGGTTTGGCAGCAACTAACAACCATAGGAGAGAAATTTCTTGACATACATGTATCGAGTGTCCGGCTCTAGAGGACCATTGTAGAGATGCGACGTCTTGGGACGACCCATACCGTCGCCAAGCACGAAGCTCATGTCTGGAATCAAAGGCGTTTCCGCTGACCCTTCATTAATGACCACCACCTCCCAATTTCCATTCGTGTTGTTTCTGTAGGGCTAAAAGGTTGCATTATGGGTCGGTTAAAAATATTAGCTGCCCTGGTTCTTACTTAAAAGTACTATATAACCCGTGGACACTGTGAGAGATGAGGCAGATGTGCTATTTCATAAAATGCTAACCGAATTTCTGAAAATATACATTCAGTACGAGTTCTTTAAAAGCTACACCGTAGTTCACTATAAAACAACTAACTACACTAAAAAGTACTAGTAATAAAAGAAGATAATAAACTAAAAACTCAACTTTACCAAAAATGTATTTAACTTACTAAAAGAAAATGGACTTAATAAAGACTTAACTAATAAAATTAAATAATAAACAAATAACTGAACTAAATAATAAACGAAAACTAAGTAAGTATGTAGTTATCTTGTGGTAAACTACGACTCTGCTTAGAAGGAAACCTTACCATATTTTAAATAAGAAAAGTTTGCTTAAGTCGGAGTACAAGACGAGGGAGTGGGCAACATAATCCAGACATATGTCACTCAGGATGTCGGTTTTGGAGAACCTGCGACTTTCAACAGCTATACTGCCTAAAAAATAATCGCATAACTAGTGTGCAATTTTATCCTTATATTTCGATTTCCTTATAGCTACATTAGTAGGGTGGTTTTGTTAGAGAAGAATAATTAATTTGACCTAACTTCCCCCTTGTGTAAATGCGAAAGCCTCGGTGTGATTGTACTTCACGCCAGCAAGCGGAGGGCAACGCTCTTACTAACTGAGCTGCGAGACTTCCATCGGCAGCGATATGTTTACTCGCGTCTCAGGCATTTGACTAGAGCGTTGGTTCTTATAAAGCCTTTGCCATGCTGGCGTGGGCTCGAATCCCAGCAAGTCCTCTGGGGCTTTTCGCAAAATGTCAAAAAAATATTTAAAACTCTATGTTCTGTAAATAATTCCATGGTTAATTTGAAAAGTCCGTTTATGGCAAACATGTGTTTTCAGCAAATCTTCATCAGGCCAAACAGGAGTTTTTTTCCTGATGTTTCCGATTCTTGTATGTAGAAAATAATGCAAGATTTATTGGATCCATAACATTTCGGGAGCGCTCATCAGTAGCAGCCACTCCAAAGCGTTGAAGAGTAACGAATGAGAAAAATACGATATTGAATTGGTACAGAATGATCACAGGTCATAGTCACTAAGGCTAATTGGTAAAGTAAGAATGTTAGAACAAAGTGGAAGGAGAAACAGAGGAAAATGTGTTACGGGAAAAGAAGGGGGGACAGGAGAATGTATAAATCTGGGAGCCTGTCGTTACCAAGGCAAGGCTAGGTTAACCACATGCTCCAACTGTTTGCATAGGTCCGGTTTAGAGCGTCTTCTATAGGCTGCCTCCAGTTAGCGCAAGATCCGAGATGTTCATGCTCGAACAAGAACGCGGAATGAGGTTATAGGGTCCACAGAATGACCCGTGTCCAGCAAGTGTTCCG